AGCTCCTCTAACTCCCGTGGGGACATCCTATATACAGCGCCCTTAGGAGTCCTACTACCAGGCTCTGTCTCAATACGGTGCTGGATGGGCCGCGGTACCACTCCTATCGGCGGCTCGGTTAGGTCCTTGAACTCTTCCAGCAGCTTGGCAATCGCAGGGTCCATCGGTTTTTCTTCCGTAGGCTCAGTCACTGGCCTCACATAGGCAACCAAGACCTGCTCATTCAATTTCTCCTTCTTCACTAATCTGGCGAACGCGGGGGCACTCAGGCAGCAGTGCGCCAAGGAATTCTCTACCCCTGACACATGGAACAGGCGGGCAGTCTTAGCCTCGCCTGAGGAACTAGGGAGCCTACACTCGTGCTCCTTCAGATGGAGCATCGCCCCGGCTGCCTCTCCCCAATCCATTCCCAATACAATATCAAATGGGAGGCTGTCTTCTACGAGGAGAGTCAGGGAGTGGAGGACCTTCTCCACTTTCCCCTCTTTCTCTAAGCGGAAATATGCCTGAACTCCCTCTACGTAATCCTCTACAACCGTAGTGCGATTGTCCGCGAGGATACTAACTATGGGGTCTGTCAGTTTCTGGACTTTAAGTCCCAGCCTCAACTTCTGCAGCGCTTTCTTACTAATATAGCTGCGGGTGGCCCCTGAATCTACTAGGGCCCCTACTCTACTTCTGAAAATCTCTGTATCTAGCAATATAAGCTGCCCTTTATTCTCCTTCTTCATCTTGGCCCAGGCGGGCATCCTCTCTTTCAATTCTTCGGCCACACCTCTGAGGGAGGTGTCTAGCGAAACTCTAACACAAGCAGTTTCGGGACAGCTATCTAGACACCGGCCTGCAACCTCTGCCATAGGCACATGTGGTGTGGGAGTCTCCTGCCGGCTGGCGCTATGTTCCCCACATGACCTAATGGTGGGGGCAGTTGCTACCCCTACCGGCGGCTGCCTTTTGGCCCTTGGGCAGCCGTTCGGGTCTCTCTGTACTTAGGACAATATTTGATGATGTGGCCCGGGTCACTGCAGAAAATGCACTGGCCCCGGTCCAATCATTGTTGCCATAAAGCCTGGTCCAGACCCAAAGATTCCCAAGGCCTACCCTGCGGTAGCCCTGGGTGCCATCCTCCTACCCTATAGGGAGACCTATTCCTAGGACGGTTTTGCGGGGGACCTTGACCCCTGCCTCCCACTTGGCGGTTTCCTCCTCTGCCGCCAACCCCCTGATCGCCCTGAAATCGGCTCCCTGAGGCCCGGCCCCCTTGGCCCTAGCCTCTTCCTCCTTGCGGCCTCCCTCTAGCCACGACGGCAGTGCAAATCCTCCCCTGGCCCACACCGTTGTCCGCCTCCTCTAGCCCCCACTCAATCTGATCGTAGGGAATCTCATCCACACTACACTCATCTAAAGTCAGGACAAGGCTATCCTTGGTCTTTACCTGCCCTGAGATAGTGCGGCCTTTCCATTGCTTTCCCTTGTCCAAATCCTTATGCCAAAATATGGACAGGGACACTGACTTCGCTTCAAAAGCCACCACCTCACGACTAAGGGAATCGTAAGTGGTGGCAGGGTCTTCGCTCTTCGCGAAGAACTGCCCTCGAAAGGCTTCGGGCATAGCCCGGTAAAAGAGGTTGACCAATTGGCCCTCTGTGACCCCATGGTTAGGGATGGCCACCAACTCATCCATTGTACCCTTGAGTGCGCTGGCACTCTTCCATTTACGAGAATGGATGGTTTGGAGCTTGTCTGAGGCCTTGACACTGCGAGCGACATCAACAAATCGCTCGCGCAGCA